GCTCCAAGCAGATTCTGGTTGAGACCGTCGCTGGGCTCGGCAGCCGGCTTGTAGAATATGGCCCCCACAGCTGGAATCTCGTAATCTAGCCATGAGGCATCGTGCCCGGTTGGTGGGATCGACTCTATATCTGGCACAACTGCCATGAACACGGTTTCGTGGCGTTCCTCGAGGAAGTCGGGTTCTTTAAACGCGTTTCTCACCCGATCTGCATTGAAGAGCCAAGCATCGCTGCTAGGGAACGCAAGTAGTTTGTAACGTTCATGTACATCTGGCTCGACTCTGACAGATCGAAGGAAGTCGCACAAGGGACAATCTGACGGCTTGGACAGCCTCGTGCCAAACCGATGCACCGAAACTGCGTCAGCGTAAAAGTGCCTTCCATCGCTAGCTTCGTAGAGCTTCGACTTCTTGTCTGGATCGTCCACTCTGCGTTTGTAGTACTTGAGGGCCGCTTCGAAAACGTTGTCGATGTCAAGCATTTGACATCCCGCACACAGTGGTGATGTCAGGTCGATGGTTGGTTTAAGTCGTTTCCTTTCTTCAGCCCTGTCTTCCGGACTGGCTTCCTGTCTTCTTTTGCCTTCCTGCTTTGAATATGAGGCGCTCATATCGCTTCCAAGGTAGAAGTATTCGGGTAATGTAGGCGCGTCACAGTATCTCCGTGATATGCGCGATGGTCAGCATGCTTCTTGTTAGTAATGGGCTGCCTGCATTCTCTCTTAACTGCTACAAGTCAATTTCGAAATATTGGAATCGATCCATATGGAACCTGGTAGAATGTATGCTCGTATTGGTATACACAGCTGAGGGCAGATCGGCGTTCTACACAGCCTCCTCGCTGCCTGAAACAGCCTTAGCGCCGCCACGAGCGTGTCCACCCCAACTGAGCGAATGGCAACAACGATCCTTTTCTTATCCAGATTGTCGTTTTCGCGCACTAATCCCCCATTGGGAGGTTCTGCGAACTGAGGCTGAACAGATTGCACGCAGCAAGCAATTCGGTTCCAGGCGCGAGCACAACTGCGGCCATCGAACGACAAGTTCCCACAGTCTGTCCTCGCTTCAGATCTGGAGGGTGGCACGCTTTGCTTTCACTTCAGCCAATCGTTCAACTCGCTCCCACTTTGACTACCAGCTTTCCCTTCGCTCTACCTGTTCTGAGCTTCTCATAAGCTTTGGGTACATGCTCGAAAGCATACACCTCACTCACGACAGGCTTCACTTTCCCGTCCGCAACAAGATTTCCCAACTTCGTAAAGTCTTCGAAGTTCGTAGAAGCAAGACCGAAAGAGAATGGCCGTTGCCCACCTCCAAGCCACGTCGGTACCAGGAAGCGGAATGCGAGATCGTAGATAAAGGGCAGGCTCACTTGAGATCCGATCTGGACGTATCTCGCTGCAGGATTTGTGAAGGTGGGTGATTTCCAGTATAGCTCAAACTGATGTCCAATGTTGTCGAGAACCATGTCATAGTGGTTTGAGCTGCTTGCTAGAATGGTAGTTACATCGTTCTGGCGATAGTCGATGACTTCGTCGGCCCCAAGATCCTTGCAAAGCTGAACATTTACGCCTGTGAGGGATCAGACAATGCGTTATTGTCGCGACTGTTGGATGCTTACCGGAGCAGGTCGTTGTGACATAGCATCCTAGAGCTTTTGCGATCTGAATGGCAAAAGTACCCGTACCACCTGAACCACCGTTGATTAGTACTCTGTCACCGGCTTTTACATTCGGTGCGAGGCACTGATATGTAACAAGACCGCAGACTCCCAGCGTTGCTGCTTGCTCCGCTGAGATACCATCGGGCATTGGCACCGTTCCCGCTTTTGAACCGATGATGTATTCTCCCAACGTGCCAAATTGTTGCTTCGGCTCGAGCTTGCCAAAAACCATCTGCCCGACCGTGAGGTCGCAATCCGGTCCCACTTCAGCGACTCTTCCAGCGAAATCAAGTCCGGGGGTTACTGGCTTAGGGATGGCCATTCGCCCAACGATGGGTAGTTCTGCAAGCTTGTAGTCGACCTGGTTCAGAGCAGCAGCGTGAACTTGAATCAGAGATTCTCCACTTGCGAGTGGCCGCTTCGCTGTCGGCAGCGGTACTGAATCATTGAGCTGTATTGCCTCCTCGAGCGTGGTACCGCATGTTGACCATTGCCATGCTCTCATCGTTGCTGGCAGGCGCATCGTCTCGGTTCCGGTAGTAGTAGTTTGCGACATCTTCCAAGTAACACTGTGTGCGTGGTAGGGGAAATGAGGGGTAAAAAGACAGAAATGAGTTTCAACCCCGATGCGCTGTCATATACAATTGCGTTGCGGCTGGTCGTCAACCAGGACCGTGGCTATCGTACGGATCCCCGCACGGGGAAGTTGCGAAGAGACCATCGTGTACGGCGTAGGATGAGTAAACCATCAAGACCCATCAAGATCGATCATCAGCGAGATTTCATGTAGAATGGAGTTAATTGTCAACGCTGTGCATAGGACATCATTGACACGAATGAGAAAGCGAAGGACATGCGCGCAGAATGATCGCGACTGCTAGGCTGCTAGCGCCGGACTTTGCACTCCCGCTACTTGGGCAGCTACTACCCAACACCACCACCAAACACCCTTCACTCGCGTGGCTTTCCGCCTGTTGACTGCGTAGTATCTACCGTTCGCGCCAGAAGTCGCTATCCTCTCCAATGATGACCTGCTCGTCGTCGGATACGTTCCCTTCAGCAATGCCATCCATATCGTGCCTCATTGGCGTGTCAGCCGTGCGACCTCTCCACTTTCGACGCTTTGGCTCGCCAGCTGCATATTTTGCAAGCACAGCACTGACAGACGGAGGCGGGTCTACTTCTTCCATGTCTTCTGGTCCGCCTTCGATCTGGCTGTTCATCGCTTCCTCATGTCCTTCATGGTCTGACATCCTTTCCTCTTCTGTTTCGCCAAGTATCTCGTCATTCATGACACAGTCATTTCCTTTAGATTTCTTCCTTTCGCACTCGTTCTGATATTGCGCCTTTCTCTTGAGACCGGCGTGAACTGGTATGCTAGTCTGATTCTTGTTGTCGCCCTTCGCGATCATGGCGTCTAGACTTGCAAAATCGCCATCGGACTTCTTTATGAGAAATCTGTCAGTCTCATGCTTCAGATTATCCGATGGCGCCTTGGGGTATTGTCTGTGGGACTTTGGCTGGTCTTTTGCCAGCACACGTCCGTTCCGTGGCCCGCTCGTATCCAAGATCACTCGCGCTGCTCGCTTCTCTATGGCATCACGGAGACCCTCGAGCACCTCAAGGCGTGTTCTTACGTCCCACCCGAAGATGATCGTTCCTTTGCGGGATGTTACGTCGACGCGATATCTGTCGGATGATATTTGGATGGTGACCAGGTTGACATCGCGAACACTGGTGACGGAAGGATACTCGGTACGGACCAGAAATACCAGCGTATCTAGATACTCGTGTCAGTATTCTCTCATAGAAAACGAGCGGTTGGGGCGATTAGCGACCTACTGATCAGCTGTATACGCTCCTGCTCGGACAAAGTGCCTCCAATGTTAGTGAGCGCCATGAAATGCGAGTGAAGGGGATCCGCGTTCGTCATGGCAAAAGATTGATATCTGAACCTGTGACGCTCTAGATTTATGCGGAAAGGATCAGTGGTACTGGCTGGGGCGAGGAAAGAACGCACTATCGAAACTACAGTTATAATGAAACCGACGCTCTGCCAAGACGTGTCTGCATTCACTGACCGAATCGTGTCTCCTCCAGTTCACTCGATCAGAAATCAACGATCGAAACTTAGTAGATTACTGATAGTTTGACTGTGTAAGTTTGCTATCAGAGACTAAACATGCGGAGTCTAATAAGGCAAAGTGTTCATGCTATACTCAAGGAGTAATACATTTAGAATTCTTTTATCTCGATGCTTTAATTCGGTGTGCTTTCATGTGATGATGGGCCGTTTTACCATATCAAGAGCTTCCAAGTAAATTCTCGCTTATCTCTCGAGCAGGAATACAGCACGTTGTCCAGTTTGATGCCATCCGAATGTTTTAAAGGAAGCGCAGTACAAGTTCAAGATGGTAATTACGGGTGTGGTGTTCAAAGGTCGTAGAGAAGCTGAGGGTTTGACACTGTAGATTAAGTACTACGAACGATGTGTGAGCACCTGGGCAGGCCCGTACTGGCAGCCTTAAACTTTACCGCTTGGGTGATCTACTGGTATCCCTGGAGGTATCGGTTAGGTTCGCAGTCGCGCCAGGTTGGAGATTGGCGATGACACGAGCAACTGTTGGGACTTGATATAAGGATGAAGCTCTCCTTCATGGACAGTCGTGGATCAGCGGCGGGGGTAGACGGTCAATGTGAATGCGGTGTCAGGTGGGCGCGTGAGTTGACGTGGGCACCTCAGACCATGGGACGGGCGGGTTAGCGCCATGTCCGTGCCCAGCTTGACATCAACCATCATCGATCTCTGGTAACGAAGCTGCACCTATCCTCACCGTATCTGCGCCATAAACGCAGTGCTTTGATTTCTCTACTCGACCATCGTCCTCGAGACCTAAATATTGGCGTCGCATACCCTCTACCTCGGCCTAGTATCCGCGCAGCCAACTCCGCACCACCTCGAAGCATCTAGCTTCGCGCCTCGAATCGACCGCGCCGTACCTCGTCTTCCTACCTACACACACTCTCTGCAAGATGGCATCAAGGAAGAAGGTCCTCCTTAAGGTATTTCAGCTCTCGACAGGGTCTGCCCTTCACGGCTAATGCGCGCAGGTCATTATCCTCGGAGACAGCGGGGTCGGCAAGACGAGCTTGATGAACCAATATGTACGGAGAACCCCTCGTAGAGCTATACACGACACGAGTGATAGCCAGAGGCTATGAACACTGGCTTATACGGTCTCTACAGGTCAACAAGAAGTTCAGCGCAAGCTACAAAGCCACAATCGGTGCCGATTTCCTGACCAAGGAAGTGTTGGTCGACGACAGGCTGGTTACCATGCAGGTGTGTACATGTGAATCTGCGCGCTTGGATCTTACTGACGTACGATAGCTCTGGGACACTGCCGGTCAAGAGCGCTTCCAATCGCTCGGTGTTGCCTTCTACCGCGGTGCCGACTGCTGCGTGCTCGTATACGACGTGAACAACTCGAAGAGTTTCGATACCCTGGATAGCTGGAGAGACGAATTCTTGGTTCAGGCCAGCCCGATGGATCCTGAGAGCTTCCCATTTGTAGGTGCATACGGGTAGATTGGGTGTACATCTGTATTGACGCAGACAGGTTGTCATTGGCAACAAGATCGATGTGGAGGAGAGCAAAAGGATGGTGAGTCTCTGTAGCGACCGTTCAAGGCTCCATGCTAACAGCGCCAGATCTCGTCCAAGCGCGCCATGACATTTTGCCAATCGAAGGGAGGTATCCCGTACTTCGAGACCAGTGCTAAGGAGGCCATCAACGTCGAGCAAGCTTTTGAAGGTAAGCCAGACCTAGAGCCATCCGAATCCCCGCTTTCGGAAGCTGACATCCGTAGTTATCGCACGACAAGCTCTGGCACAGGAGGACGTGGGTGACTTCAGCAACGACTTCCCCGAGACAATCCCGATCGACCTCAAGGGCAGCGAAGGCGGTTGCGCATGCTAGTGTATGCCATCACGAAATAAGCGACGTTTATGAGAGCCGACAGTGGAACCTCATCTGCCGCAATGCCGTCTTGCATCTGGAGTTCGCATGGAGTTTGGTGTTGAACATGCTTGTTGAGCAGGAGGATCTCTTACTCCTGTAATCTATCATCACGGATGGGGTCATTGTCACCTAGTCGATATAGCTGCCTAAGAATATATGAATACATACATGAACAGTACTTTTGCCTGGAGTGCTATCAGACGCGTGCCTTCCGCCCGCATATCCGTGATGACGTGGGTCCGTGGCTAAGGCGGCACCGCCACAATCCCGTCAACGGGCCTCTTTGAGACACGAGGACACATGAAACTCGCAACCCCCGGGACTTAGCACCCTCTTATCAAGTGTCCGCGTGTTACGCCGAACCACCCCGTGCCACGAGTCCATCACTTGCATATTTCTCTGCCTTTGACAAACGACTGATTTCATGGGCGCTCGCATATTCTTCCATGCCTCGACACGTACCCCGACCGTGAGCCCGCGTATCACCGAAGACCCTCCCTGACGGACCTGTCCTATACACCTACAATAATTTCTATTACACCCTGCTAACATGATACCTCGGAGGGAAGAAGATGTTGAGACGACGCCGCTCAGTCCACGCGTTAGCGACGTCTCCGACGAGAGCGCATACTTGCGCGGGGAAGACTATCTCGAGAGCCCAGCGAGCGAGGCCAGCCAGTGGGCCGAGGGACAGAAGAAGGGACTGTGGACGAGCAAAGTGCGACATGCAGTAGGAATAGCCCTCCTACTTGCGACGGTGCTACTGTGGACAGCCAGTAATTTCCTCGCGAGTGTACGTATCTCGCATCCCCTGGGATGGCACAGGTAGTGGTAAGCGCATAGCTGACAAGCCAACAGACAATATTCGCAGACGACTCCTACTCGAAACCCTACCTTGTGACCTACGTAAACACAACATTCTTCGTCATCCCTCTCCTACCCATGTTCCTCCACCACCTATGGGTCGACCGTCACCGTCCCAACAGCGCGCGGCAGCACCGCCAGCCTCTCCTAGCACACGCACGCGACCTCTTGCAACGGCGAGCAGGGAAATGGAAGCTCCTCCGCGAACACGAGACCCCCTCTTCAACCTCAGCCTCGAACAAAGCTCGCAATGACGAGGCGACCGAGGTCCTGTTATCATCCTCCCTGCACGGCTCCCAAAGTTTCGCAACCGGGAAAACTGGTGGCCAGGACGAGGACGACGGCTTGACGATAAGAGATACAGCGAAACTGGCGCTGGAGTTCTGTCTCCTTTGGTTCCTGGCAAACTACTTTGCGGCCGCCTGTCTAGAGTACACAACCGTCGCAAGCTCTACCATCCTCTCTTCCACGTCCTCCATCTGGACCCTACTTCTGGGATCAATAATGCGCGTCGAGCGCTTCACGCTGCTCAAGTTCCTCGGCGTACTCGCGTCTCTCGGCGGTGTAGCCCTCATCTCCATGGTCGACGTATCCGGCGAGACAGACGAGAACCGCGGTTCCTTCCCGCACAAGACACCAAAAGAATTAGCCATTGGCGACGTCATGGCCTTTGTGTCGGCTGTACTATACGGTTTCTACACGGTCTTCATGAAGTCTCGGATTGGCGATGAGACAAAGGTCAACATGCCTCTCTTCTTCGGCCTCGTTGGATTGTCCAACATCTTACTACTCTGGCCTGGATTCATCATCCTACATCTTACCGGCATAGAACCTTTTGAGCTCCCACCCACATCGCGCATTCTTAACATCGTGCTCATCAACAGCGCATCATCTCTCGTCTCCGACTTTTGCTGGGCGTACGCTATGCTGCTTACTTCCCCACTGATCGTCACTGTTGGTCTTAGTTTGACCATTCCGTGCAGTTTGGTTGGGCAGATGCTGTTGGACTCGCAGTATGCATCGGCGTTGTATTGGGTCGGCGCGGCGATCATGGTGCTATCATTCCTGTTCATCAACCATGAGGATCGGAAAGATGAAGCAGAGGGACTGCAGGGCGCGGATGATGCTGTGACGGAGGTACAGAGGGGCTTTCAGAGTATAAGACAGAGTCTGAGTCGAAGGAATTCAAGGACGGACGTTTGATGTCGAATACCTGGGTCGCATACCCAACCTGTTCATACACATGTTCTTTGAATAATTCTCCATAGCCAAATACCAAAGTCGTTCTCATTGGTTCATGGGGTATCATAATGCAAGTCATAGTAGTACCAATCCCTCATTTCCTTCCACCGTCCATGTTTTTGGAGTAGCCATTCCGTCCATACTTCCCTTTACCCTTCGAGTTCCACTTCTTACCACCACCCTTGTAACTCTTCTCCCGGTCATTATCTTTCCTCTGCTCCATCAGATCCTTCTTCCTCCCCTCCCAGCTCTCGTCGTCGTCCAGTTCCTCAATTGGCCAACCCTCCTTCTCCATGAACTCTTCGAGCTGCTTCTGAAGTTGGGGCTCCCACTTCGACTGGTCTTCCAGATCCGTATATTCTAGGACGTTCTGGCCGAGCGTGTAGTCGCCTTGGCGAGAGCGGATGAGAGACGACATGAGGCCGAGCGAGTTACAGGCGAGACCGAGATCGTGGCAAAGAGAGCGTACGTAGAAGCCAGACGTTACTGTCATACGAAGACGGGCTGCCGGTGGTTGCGGGGTGGGCGCAGATGTAGCTGATGATGCGGTAGCGTCGGTGGGTTCAGCGGCGTTATCCTGGGTGATTGTTGATGTGTTTTCGGTTGCTTCAGCTTGCTCCACTGAAGCTACAGGCTTCTCTTCTGTCGGTAATGATGCTTCGACACTGGCGTCTGTGACTTTGTTCTCCGCGGGGGTCTCCTCAATGGGGGCTACCTCTGCTGGTAAAGCGCCAGACATGGCGGGCTCGGAGTCTGTCTTAGGTATCTTCGGTTGCTGACCTGCTCCTTCAACGTGGTCGTTTTCTGGTGACCTCGATCGTTTTCGTCCTCTTCTCGCCGCTGTATCGGAGTAGACTTTGGCGTCTTCTTTTCGGATGCCCATCAACTTCTTTGCGCCCTCCATCTCAGCACCATCAACTTCCTCCTTTGGCCAGGCAAAGTCATGACTTCCGGGTTCCAGCCACTCGACAAGCTCCAACTCTTCTACCTCGACCGGTCGAGCAGCCACCTCTGGTATGTCCTTGCCCTCTCTAGCGTATTCGTACATCTTCTTGCCGTCAACCTTGAGCGCAGAGAAGACGCTTGGCTTTTGCAAGATCTTGCCGCGAAATTGCGCTAGCTTTTCCTCTACCAATTCCTTTGTGACATGCTCGTACTCCGCCTTGCCGACAACCTTGCCTACAGCATCGTAGCTGTCTGTCGCCGCGCCGAACAGTACCACGCATTCGTATGTCTTCGTGCACTCGAGGAAGCGTTGTAAGCATTTCGTGCCCTTGCCCATGCCGACAATCAAGACGCCAGTAGCCATTGGATCGAGGGTACCACCATGACCGAGTTTGGCTTTGATATTCTTGAGGTGTTTGGGCTTCGCGTCCGCGATAATGAGGGAGCGCTTCTGGGCTTCGAGCCAGGGTGCGAAGAGCGGCGAGCGAGAGAAGTGATCTTGGAGGTCGCGCAAGACGCCGGCGGAGGAGGCCCATTGCGGCTTGTTGATGGCGAAGATACCTTCGAGCACTTTGCGACTCTCGGTCGGTGGAGTAGTCATAATCGCGCGCTTTATCGAAGACGCGACTGGCATCAGCGGGGTGATAGAAGGAAGCTCGGAGCTCTAGCTACTGGGTGGGAGGTATTGGGGCCACTAGATGTTAACAGAAATTATGTTGCCTACAGCCTACACAGAGATTTGTTTTCCAAAATCACGCTGGAGTATACATCGTCTTGTGTGCTACTCGATTGTCAAAATATAATACAATGTATCCGGTAACGCGAAATTTCGTAGGCGTTCCGAGAATATGCGCCAAGCCGGAAGGCGCGCTAGTGGGCGATCATCTCACATGTTTCTGCGGCTGCCTCGCGCTTGCGCTATTCACATCCACTTGCGACTTTTGTCTCCCCTCTCGATCCTACGCGCCAACGTCCCGCTCTGGCCCCCAGACTGCTCACGTATACCCTGGTCTACCGACATCATGAGCGACACCAACAAGGACCTCGAAGATCTCGCGAAATCAACCACCGAGGATTTCTACGAGTTGCTTGGTGTAGCATTCGATGCGCCAGAAGCTGCAATCAAGAAGGCTTACCGTAAAGCCTCGATTCGTTACCATCCCGATAAAAATCCCGACAACAAAGATGCTGCGGATCGCTTTATTTACTTAGGATGGGCTCGAGATATCCTGATAGACGAGAAGCTAAAGGGCGAATATGACCGCGCGCGTACGAGGCGGCGGGAGAAAGCGCTCCAAGATGAGCTTCTGGACGGTCGGCGGCGCAAAATGAAGGATGACCTGGAAAGGAGGGAGCGAGAGGGCAAGGACTTCATGAACAACCTAAAGAGGAAGAGGGCGGAAGATATGAACGAGGCGGAAAGGAGAGAACAGGAGATACAAAGATTGGCCGAAGACGGCAAGAGGCGCAGAAAGGAGGCACAAGAGCGCATGGAGAAGAAGCGCAAAGAAGAGGATGAGGCAAGCTTCGTGGACGTAAGCCCTGAGCCACAGGCACCCAAGCCTGGAGACTCCGTCGAGATCGATCGCACAGTCAAGGTCCGGTTCCAACGAGAAGGCGACGCTACAAACTGGGACAAAGACAAGATATCGAGCATGTTTGCGAAATACGGCAAGATTGACAGCGTCGTCATGGGCAAGGACAAGAAGATCCGACCATTGGGAGAGAAGCACCGCAAGATCATCGCCATTGTCTTTATCATCTACACACGTCTCGATCACGCGCACGCCGCCGTCCTGGACGGAAGGTCCGACTACCCGTCGCTCGAATCTGTGGCTTGGGCAAACGGCGAGCCGGACCTCAAATCACCAACCAACGACGCGCCATCAGCGCCGTCAACACCTATATCTACGCCGAAGAACCAGTCCTTCAGGTCATCGTTTGGCCCAGGCATAGGGAAGGGCGTCGGAAGTACTACACCACTAGGAACACCAAAGTTCTCTTTCAGCCCGAAGACACATAGCTTAGAGGAGGTGACTATGATCAGACTGAAGCAAGCAGAAAAGAAGCGGTTGGAGGATCAGATACGCAAGCAGGAGGCTGCCGAGGAGGCTGCGGTATGATGAGATGACTTGATGAATTCGTTGTGTTACTCCAAGATACCCACTATTAGTATAATTTAATTTGCCGGCTACGTTGACTTTTCCCACAGCTCATGTTGCTTTCATATCGTGATGTATCCGCCCGGGGGCACTATGGATCTTCTAGGCAATACCTAGGTACAATATCGAAGACCTCAAAGGTGAGAATATGTGCTCTTCCGGAAATGGCCTTTCCCATGTCGTCGCAAAAGTTAGATCTGGTATAGCTACATTGTGTAAGAATCCCTTCAGTGATATATCGCCTTGCCGACTACATAGACTTGGATGCAACACCTTCTAGCTTATAAAATGTGTTGTAGGCTGCAACGCTTGAGTTTGGCTTTCGAGTGACGCAAGTGACCTCGGGAAGCAGCTATCGATAACACGCCTTTGACCCTGGACGCGCATCCCGTCTCGCGCCCTTCGCGCCCGCCCGCATTGCTCATCCCCACTACTTCTTTTACCTGACCTTGGACAGGTAGCTTTGTTTTGTAACACCGCAGCATGCAGCATACCCGACATTATTTCTTAAGATGCCGACCCCAGAATCCGAGATACTGAAGCCACTCGACGCCTCCAACACCAATTCCGACGACTGGGAGATCTTTGTCCTGAGCGATGCGCGCATCGTCTTCGAAAGCAATGGAAAACCTGCAAGCCTTCTTGCTGCATATGCAGACACCCCACTTCGAGTAGAAGGGCGACTGGAGACTCCAGGGCGTAGCCAGCTGAAATACCGTATGTGAGACATGCTTGTCGGCTGTCGGACGCGACGACTAAGCAGAGCGCTCTGGCTAACGCGACTGCAGTTTTGAAGAAACCCTACAAGCCCATGGAAATCGAAATACAACATGTCACACGTTTCTCCTACGGCGAAATGACCGACGGCGCATACGTAATTTGGGCGCAAGGCCAGGCAGGCTGGTTTGAGATACGACCAACAGCGCAATACAAGCCCATCTACGACCAGATGGTTCAGGCTGTGGAACTTCTATACTTTGTCACAGACATTTACGGCGAGTCGCGGAAGAAGAGTAGCGGACCTAGTGCAGAGCTGGTCTTCCAAGAGGTCAGCATGTCTTAGAATCATGCAACAGAGTGGTGCTAACACGGCACAGTACGCAGAAGACGAGCGTTTTCCTTGCAACGATGTGGCCACGGCTGAGAGACTATTCGACCAACATCATCTGTTCCTCATGATGTGCTTCCTGAACAAAGCCCAGGGACTGAGCTGGAGCAACACGCCTATCTATCAACGTTTCAGACGGCGGTTCCCGGTAGGAAGCATGGAGCTCGAGCGTGTGCCGAATCTAACGTACGTGTAGAAAGACTTCGATAATTGTAAGGCACGAATCGAAGGGCGCTATTCTCAGATCCAACCCGAACGCTCAGCGAGGACCCAGAAGTCCGCAACTGCACCAACGCCAGCTTCCAAAACGGCACAAGCGAATGCGACACCGAAACCAACGGAAGCGCCGAAGAAAGACGACAACTGGTGGGAGGCGGCCGCACTCTTCGAATTTATGCAGAAAGCAGTGAACCAACGGGTTCTACGAGCAGGACGGAATCACATAACGGTGGATCGCGTTGCCGAACTCATTGTCAGGCGATACGAGATTGAGGAAGCGGAAACTGCGAAGAATGTGCTTCTGGTACACGCACAGAATCTGTGCTACATGATGGACCACCCGCGGCGGAAGAACGTACAATTCTTTGCCGCCGAACCTATATATCAAGAGCTGTCAGCCGGCCACACGCTTCCCGCAGCCGAACAACGGCGAGCTGAAGGGGTGGAACTGAAACCACGGAAAGATCACGGAACTCTGAGAGACGGTGAAAGCGGTTCTTCAGATACGTCCGCTGAAGAAGATGACGCCATAACAACACCTGTGCGTAGACCACCGGGTAGACGGAAGCAAGGCCGGCTCTCTGTGCTAAGACCTACGAGTGGAAAGTTTTCTGGCAAGAGCAAAGGGATCAGCATTAAGCCAGGGAGACAGAAAGGCGGAAAGGGGAAAGCACCCGTGCCGGCAAGTGACGACTCGGAAGCCGAGCAAAGCAGCAACGCTACAAGTAGTGATGAAGACGATGAGGAAGAAGGCATCGACACACCAACCCACGCCCTATCACCAGGTCGAGAGAAGAGAAAACTAGACGACACGGACGGTGATCAAGACGAGAAGGATCGACGAAAACGTACAGCCAGTGCATCCATAGCACCTGAATCTCCACCCACAACTGGCGACTCGGACTCTGCCTCTGAAGGAGTCAGCGCCGTACCACCTCTCCCGCTTCGTCATCGACCCTCCCATTTCCCTCCCCACGCGAATCCAGCATCATCATCAGGAAATACTAAATCAATCATATCACCACCGATAATATCAACACCCTTGCCGACATATGAAGCTAATGGCCCCCGTGACTCCTGGATCTGCAGTTTCGACGGTTGCACGCAGAAAATCTACGGATGCAGTAAAGAGTTGGGTAGACAATTGATCACAGAACACTTGGAAGATCACAGTCGAGGGCGAGAAAAGGTTGTTGGTATTCTTTGGAGAGAACAGGATAGATTGAATCTGCCTGTTAGGTAAGTCAATGTCTCCCAAGGTGGAGATGCAAGCACAGTAAGCTAACACTTTGACAGCAACTTGATCAAGAAAATCCGCGAAATGAATGAGGCGGCTACGCCGCTGTTCCCGGTGCCTGGTGCTCCGGCGACGGCAGTGCAGCCGAAGCCTATACAAAGACCTGTGTAGATTCAAGGACCTATTCATATTCCCACTTGCTTCGGAATGAAGAGCCGCAGTGACTTGAGTCGTGGTATAATCAATGACTACTTTTCAATTCTCTACGCATTCTTAAACCGCTTCCTCTTCACATTTTCGCTGCCCATTTCACAAATATCGTCCAATCTCCTTTTGCTTCTTCCAGTGTCCTTTTCTACATTGTTCTCCTTATCACCTTCATCTCCCACACGACTTTCAATACTCCCCCTCACTTCACCCACACTGTTCACATACCCTAGCTCGGCATCGTATTCTTCCCAGATCGGACTCCTAACTTCGTACGCCTCTCCCGTGCCGACTTTGACATGCCATTTTGGATGTGGGAAGGGGAGCGCGTAGGTGGGGGTACGAAGGTAGGATTCAGGGTAGGGCATATCTGTCATGTGTGTGGTTTGGTGCCAGGATCGGCTGTAGTATTGTGCGCTATTCGTGGCAGTGGTGTTGGACTGTAAGATAGGTTGCGTTGCTGGAAGGTGAGATTGGTGCTGCCGGCTGGAGGATGGAGACGTCGAAGTAACGTGTTGCATCTCGACTTGATCGTGTATACATGGCGCTTGATGCATTAAGGCGTTGAGGCCAGATCTAACTTGTGCCATTGGGATCTGGTAACAAGGACTTTTGTGATATAGAGGTTGGAAACTGATGGTGCGGAAACGCGTGAGCATTTTCTTAACCAGATATATTCACTTATTGAACGATCTCAAAATACGATACACATCCGAATACGGCAGTAAAAGATGCTTGCAGGACATACTGGTATTCCGCTCTTTGTGGACCGGATCAAGATGAAGTGCAGATAGTGGGTAACAAAGAGAGAAAACGCGCATCGGAATGCATGAACCCAAGAAGGGTAAAATGTTTGAAATTTTGGGCAGACGCGAGTCTGACTTATACACTGATCGTTTTGAAAACGTTGAATCCTGATCCTCCTGTAGCCATGATGGCGCCCGGAATTTGCGGGTGCCAGTGCGCCTCCTTGATCTGCTCCATGTAGTGTACGAACAGCAATTGCGGCGGTACATCTTGGACACCTGCTGTGTACTTGCTCTCTTCGTCGTCGAGCTCGACAGCCAGATCCCACAGGGTAAGTGTGTTGTCGCCGGCACATACAAGTACGATACTGTCGTCTGTAGGATGCCACTCGACCGAGGTGATTTGCTCCTTGTGGAAGGTGTATGACGCAACGGGCGAAGGCTTCTTTTCGCTCGACATGTCGGTAGAGGGCTTCCATTGTCGCAGGTCCCAGACTCCCCATTCGCCGTCGTCTGCACCGGTAGCGAGGAGATGAGCGGTTTGGTGCGACCAACTCAGTACGTTGACGTCTGTTTTTGAGACTTGTACACTGAGCACCGGCTTCCGCGACTTTGACCGCGCATCCCAGATCTTGACTGTGCCATCGCTCGATGCAGAGGAGAATACGTGCTTCTCGGTTGGTGACCACTGGAGCTCCTCTACTGAACCACTGTGGCCGGTATACGGCGTGGTGTCAGTGACGAAACCTCCACCCTGTGTCCGTGTTGTCGCAAAGATCTTTCCGGTGCAGTCACCCGTCAGAAGCTTTCCCTCTGGTATCAATGGCGACCAATCTAGCGCATAGCCTTCGTTCGATCCATGTGCGCGAATCGTGCAGACAGGCTTGTTTTGTGTAGGCGAGATGGTGGTACCGGGAGTGTCGAAGGCTGTGAGGTGTGGGGTAACGTCGTGAATCAAGACCTGGCCTGATTCGGTCATGGCGGCGGTAAGAGTCGTAGGAGGTTGTGCGGAGGTGGCTTGCGGTGTTTGGTGGGCACGTATGCGGTTCGTGCAGCTCGTCAACGGTATCGACTTTGTCTCGAGGATAGGATCTGAGGCCTCGTCGTCGGATTCTTCGTCATCATCCTCTTCATCCTCCTTCTCCATCCGCGACAGACTGCTCATCTTCATGACCATGATCTGGTTCTCCTTGTCCCTTCCTCGCGCTGCTTGTGTGCCGGCCACCGAGTAGACTGTTGCAGGGTATGTTTTGCGGTCTGCGCCTAGATTGTCGGGTACGATGTCGCATGAGAGACAGGGCCATGGCGCTTCAAGCGCGTGAAGCATCTCATATGTAGAAAGATCGGGGTTCAATGTCTCGCCTGGTGAGAGTTTGTGTCGACCGGGAATGAAAGTATCTTGGTCCACATCCATGCCATCTGGAGGCGTTAGTTTTTGGATTTTCGACATTTTCCTCCGGCAACCTACTCTCGCGCTCCTCAGCTTCGCGCTCTTCGTCTGGTCGTCCGTCTACACCTGCCTCGAGAATCTCATCCTCGCTCTCGAATTCATCTTCGAACTCATCCTCAAACTCGCCCGCTTCGTTGTGTTGATCGATTTCCATGGGGCGATCTCCATTTTTGATAGCCTCCTGCTCTTGCTCTGAGTCTGCGGGTCGCTTCGCCATGGTGTGTGAGTGTGTGCGGTTGTGTTTTGGGGTGTCTTGTGGTAGGCGTAAAAAAGTTGGCGCTGGAATTTGTCCCGCCAAATGTTTTTTGAGGCGGCTTATCGATCGGCGTATCGGACCACGCTATGACGCCCCCCTCTCTCAGGTGCCCACCGGGGCTGTTGCGTGCATCTCTGGAGCGAAACACTGCGCGCTACCCCCAGTCCAATCGCATCCCGCACATCCCAGGTCAACACCACAGAGGCCGCGCCCACAATACCGACTCTCCCCCTTAAAGTCGCATAGAATTGTTCGAGGAGCAGAGTCGCCAAGGAAGAAGAAAACACATTGTCAGCTTGCATTCACCGTCTTGACGCGTGCCAGCGCGCTTTCAGCTCAGATCAACAACCGCGGGGACGCTGAGACATACTAGCCATGGAGCCAGAATACTCGAGTCAGGAACCCGCGCAGCAGCCCTACGTAGCTGCCACAGAAGTGCAGCACGTACAGCAAGTGCAGCCTGAGCAGCTGCCGCCCCAGCAACTGCAACCCGAGCCAATGCAGCCCGAGCCGGTGCCTATCGAAGCGGAACAGGAAGCGCAGAAGCACATGGACCAGACCATGGACGTCGCCGACGACAGCATGAGTTCGACTATTACCGCCTCGACTGTCACACCGCTACCAGACCTCACCCAGAACGCGAGTCTCAATAACAGTCCCAACCCCTACGAGCAGCCTCACCGACCCTCGACATCCTACTCAGACACCGCGTACCAGTACACAACACACAACGGGACGCGCTTCAATACATCATCAGACGCCGACACACCTCCACGGCACGGCTACTACGATGCCAACAAGGAAACACACATGGGCCAGTCGCATTCGCGGCCCAGCTCGCAGATGGGACGCTATCCGACTTCGGAGGGCAACACGCGGTCAAACTCATATCAAGACCAGCGAGGGAGCGCCCAACAGCAACAACAGGAGGCTGCCAAAAATGCCAGCGTCGTCATCAAGGTCGGCATGGTCGGAGACGCGCAGATCGGAAAGACCAGTCTAATGGTCAAATACGTTGAGGGCAGCTGGGACGAAGACTACATCCAAACGCTCGGTGGGTTACACAAGCACGTTTCACAAACTGCAGATTCTGACAACCACAGGCGTCAACTTCATGGAAAAGACCATTTCGATCCGGAACACAGAGATCACCTTCTCCATTTGGGATTTGGGTGGTCAACGTGAATTCGTGAACATGTTGCCGTTGGTCTGCAACGATGCTGTTGCAATACTCTTCATGTTCGACCTGACACGAAAAAGCACGTTGAATTCCATCAAGGAGTGGTACAGACAGGGACGCGGTTTCAACAAGACTGCCATCCCGTTTTTGGTCGGCACAAAGTACGACCATTTTGTCAACTTCCCGCGCGAGGAGCAGGAGGAGATATCTAATCAAGTACGAGTCCCTGCCAAAAACAGTTCAGAGCCGAACGACTAACAGCACCTAGGCTAAGCGATTTGCGCGAGCGATGAAGGCCAGTTTAATATTCAGCTCAACCAGCCATAGCATCAACGTGCAGAAGGTGAGAGCTGTCCATCCCCATTACCAAGCCTATACTGACTCTGCTTCAGATCTTCAAGATCGTGCTATCCAAAGCCTTTGATCTGAAATGCACCATCCCCGAGATAGAAAATATTGGCGAACCCTTACTCCTCTACCAGGCCGTTTAGTCGCCGGCAGACCGTAGAGTCAGGCCCAGGACAGAGGGAACGCGTATGAACCTGTCCGAGGGTCAGATTGGGCGCGTCTTCTACCGGAACGTTACCATGAGCGAATGATTTTCATGACTGTTTTGCGTGGGATTGCATGGCTCGGCGATTGGAGCAAGGTGCTAGATACATGGTTGGTCCAAAACCGGCGTTCTTCTGCTTGTATATGCGGAAGTGATTGTATGATTCGGGCAGTAAGGCCTCGGCCGGGGCAAAGTGCCAGGACGCGCAAGATTTGTAGCTTTACAGCATACATCCTAGTGTAATACCGACTTGTCAGACTCAACTGCATCTTATTAGGTTTGCTTGACTTCCAATCAACGCGCCTGGCGGCAAGTTTAGGCGAATGACGTAAGCTTCCGCAGCTAAAAAGTTACGCATCCCAGCAAGCAACACCAATTAACCCAGCTCCAAAACCGCGTCCACAGAATTCGCTCCAGCACGAACGAGGCTACAACACCGAGAAACCGGGTCGCGAACCGATTAACACACCGAATATCAAAAGCAACCCATTGCCTTACCAGTGGGATCGTCGCAGAGGTTGAACAAGAACGACTTGTGGGGGTACAATCTTAGAAAGACAGCTTCAACCCACGACCACAATGGCGCTTCCTTCAATAGCGCTCCCGGGGCAACTGCTCGGAAGTGTCGACAAATACAGTCCAGGTCCAGGAACACACATCCACGACTCGCAAATCTACGCCTCGATAGCTGGACCCGTTTTCTCTTCGCCATCACATCCCTCCACACAAAGCGCATCTTCCAAGTCCGGCAAACTCGCGCCACTCCTCTCAATAACGCGTCCACCCACCTCCACCGACCCCGGTATCCTCGGCCCCAACTCTGGCGGTGGCGTGCCCCTCCTCCCAACCGTCTCCAGCACAGTCCTTGTCCGCATAACGCGCCTCGGCCCACGCTTCGCCAGCTGCGAAATCCTCGTCATTGATAACGCCGTATGTCGCGAAGCCTTCCTCGCGCAGATCCGACGCGAAGATATCCGGGCTACAGAGAAGGACAAGATAAAGATTGAGGAGAGCTTTAGGGTGGGTGATCTGGTCAGAGGTACGGTCATTAGTCTGGGAGATAGCGGAAACTACTATGTCGCTACGGATCGCAACGAGTTTGGTGTCGTGTTGGCTAGGAGTGAAGAGGGCAGGGTTATGCATCCGGTTAGTTGGAAGGAGTTTAGGGATCCGGTCAGTGGGAAGGCGGAGGCGAGGAAGGCTGCTAAGCCGTTTTGATGGAAGTTGTGGAATACGGTGGATAAAATGAAGAGTGAGAAAAGTTACATTGCCGAACGAGGATGGCAATAGGCGATAAGATACCCATGATGTGGATTGAAGAATAAGATCAAGTACCTTTGGCACGCGAAGAAGACTTTAGCGAGCTACAGGAGGCACATATCTTTTAGAAAACGACACAAATGTTGTCCAACAGCCCTGAAACTGGGTAACGATAACCGCTATCAAATGCATGGGGTGCTCTTCTGCTTGCGCGAACTACTCTATCCTTCCCATTTCCTCAGCCTTAGGCACACAGCAACCTCTACGACAGCAACATCAACGGAACAAGCCGCCGCACACCAAGATCTAGCTGAGACAGCGAGGGGCCACGAGCTAAATATACCCTCCTTCCTTCCAACTTCATACATGTTCCCGATGGCGAAAATAGCAACGAAGCAAAACCAAACACGGTCGCAGCGATGGATGTGACAATACTCTCGGTACCTGCATCGTGACGCGTATCATGTATGCAAGGCCGGGGAATCACACCCAACACGTAGTGTTCCATGACTCGAGGCAACACACGGGGCCAAGGGTATGTAGTAGCATGTGTAAGGTAACCCGAGAAGATGAGCTAAGTTTAGTGGCCAGGACTGCAGTCCTAGTGCTTCACACATGCATGTAGTAGAGCTGCACCACGAGAACGATTTAGAGTGAAGTTGAAATGAACAGCGAATAACACATCATTTGCAATTGTGAGAAATAAAGTAGAATATACTACGATTGACGCTTTCGCTGTACGCGTCGAAAGACGTTTTTAAATGAATCAGCCAGGTGCTCGCTGCACACAAACCCCCCTATGATGTCGTCATGAAATAGCACAACGAGGTCGTCTCTGAAAATTCCCATCTGTATCCCACCGCACCGTCTTAATCCTTCTCCTTTTTCTTCCCTCAGATTTGCTTCAAAAACACCCAAAATCGCAGCCTTTCCCTAGGTGTGAATGTGAGTGGTACCAGGAACCGTAGATACGCCGAAACTCCGACCATGCTTGGGTCGACGCTGATCGCGTTGGATGAGCGCCTCTCGCTAATCATGCCACGCAAGATGCTGTAAGAATGACATCTTGTGTAATCCTTGATCGCAATTCTGGTGCTTGGAAAACACTCCCTCTACCGTGTATGCTGTGGTGATGTCGTTTACAACAGCGACGATCGTTCGACAGCAGTATTGAAGGAGGTCGTTCTCAACAATACCCATAGTCTTACAATGCTATCCTCTTCCAGACAGCAACGCCTCTTCTATTTGGTAGCGTGGTAGTCTTCTACAGAACGCCTCCGGGCAGGGGTGTCCCTCTATTCTGGTTACCCCACCCGAAGCTCTCTGTTTGCGGATTGACGGGCCGTACATCGTTTCCGCCCACGGTGCTGACATGGCCTTCTTGCGGTGCTGCATGCTTCCTAAGCATGAACATGGGTTTCCGGCCTTCCTTGTCAAGTTGTTTGAACAATATCAGCGGCCTCTCGTTGAGTCCAAGACAGCGCTCCTGATCACCGTGTACAATATACAGGGCATACTGGCGCCAATCTGCCGTAATGTTGTATTTCTTAAGCGCAACCGGAAGCACCTTGTGGCACGGATCGTCGATTGAGACTCGGAACGATTTGAAGATTTCAACTTGCGGGTTCGTAGATGGCGTGGATGCGGGATTGGATGCGGAGGTGTTCATTGAACTTGAGCCGCCAGAGAGTGGTGGGTCGCGATCGTCGGGGGTCGGTGTTGGTGCAGCGTTGTTTCGCATCTGTCGTGATGACAGTGGTGCGGGCGTAGCGCGGGGGTCGCGATTACGGTCGGATACAGCAGTTGTGTCTGAATTCCATGTGTTTTGACTCCACCCTGAGCTGCCGTCGTGATCGTGCCCGCTTCGGGGTATTTCGCGGTTGTACTGGCGGCCTTGGCCTTGTGTGTATGCGGGGGATGTCGGGGAGGGCTGGGCGATGGAGTTGGGCGACAGTTGCGGGCCACCACCGAGAGATGCTGTGAGGTGTGAGGAGGCTGCGACGGCTGCTGCGGAGGGGTCCAAAGAAGAATGATCGACAAGAGCGCGATGTTCTTGGATTGTTGGAGAGGGGTTCTTTGGCGCGGATCCAAGGAAAAGCTTCTTGGTAGAGAACTTACGCGAAAGACTGCTGCCACCAGATCTCTCTTGAGTTGCAGGTGGCGATGTGACGGAGTGCTCGTGGGGCGTAGGCAGGGGTTGGTTGTCCTTGAGCATGCGCACGAGTGGCAGGATCTCCTCTCGTAGCCGCTTGTTCTCGTCCATGACCCTGCTGAGGTCTTCTCGGAGATGTCGCAGCTCCGATTCGGCCGTGTGTATGCGCTCGTCGCGCGCCTGGACTACGCGAATGACCTTGGCGAAGTCGTCTTGGGTTGGCGGCGCTTCCTGTGCCGACGTATCCGCAGCTGAGGTGGTGGTTAGACGTGCAACGCCATGGCAACGGCAATGGACTCACATAGCGGGACGTAGTCGTCGGGGTCCATGGGCACATTCTGCCGCACCTTGATCTCGTAGACGGCCTTGAGGATTGTCAGGCGGTGGCCTACGCTGCCGACGCCCAGCTCCTTCAGCTCGGCATGCTGGAGGGCGGCGAGCACGTCGCCGGTGATGCCCTCGTCTAGAAACAATGGGTTAGCAAATAATGCTAATGGTGCGCGCGGTGCGACGTACTAGCAAAGGTATCCGAGTACTGCTCCAGGCCCAGGTCGGCGATGAAGTCGGCCGTCTGGTCCTCGTTCCACTCCATTATGTGCCCCGTCGGGCTGCTCTTGCTGTCGCGCGAATGGGTGAAGGTGGTGGGCGTGTGTTCAGTGCTCAGCGGGCCGGAGCTCGTGGGGGAGCTCTCGTACTCGGCGGGTAGGGTCGGGCTAGAGATGCCCTGGCGCTCAAACTCGTCATCGGCGTCCGAGTCCTCATGGTACTTGGTCGTGTAGGCCATGGTGGGCGTGACGTCGACGGCCTCGTCGGGAGTCGCAGGGTTGGCAGAGGGCGGAGGGAGGTGATGCTGCCAAGCCCTCGCAGCTTGCTCGTCGAGGGGACGACGTCTGTGTTATCGATGGCGATGTCGCGCAGGCCGGGCGGTCCAGTGTCGTCGATAGGGCACCCTGTCTGAGACGAAGCGAGATTGAGCCGGCGTGTTTCGTCTCCAGCGGGAGCAGGTCGGGCTATCCTGGGCGCAGTCTCAGATACACTGCTAGCCGTGGCACGCAAGAGTGCAGGGCGGGGAGGGTGAAGGTCTTCGCAGGCGGCCAGGCGTGCCGGTCCCTAAGCGCTTTGTCGTCGACGCCTGATGGGGAAGCGCGTATCCTCGGGGGCTGCGATGGTCCCTGCAGTCGCCCTATGCCTTTGCCTGAGGTAGAAAGAAGGCGGCCAGGATGACTATGGAGAGCAGCGAGACGACGAGGCAGTGCACAGCAGGAGGAGGAGCGCTCTGCTCACGACGCCTTAGTAGACTGGCTCGCCTGCTTCTGGATGCCAATACCAATACCGTCGACAGGCGGCTAGCAGGGCCACCCAAGCCAAAGCGGGATAGAGCCCTCTGGGTCCGAGCTTCCCATACCAGCTGGGAGCCAATATTGCGATAAAGGATGCAGGTACCAAACACTCAGCTCTCACCACCGCCTGCCCATCCTCGTCGGGCGGCACTGCACATGAACCCTCTTGCTTCAGGCTCCTAGCCTCGCCCTCTCGTGGCGCCGCTCCCGGCATCTCCCCTCCTCTCCCCCCATCGCCCACGCTGCACCTGCTCGCTTTCGGATCCGGCAAGTGCAATCTTGCAAGTTATCGTTCGCATCACGAGCCCGCAACGGCACCCGGTAAACCACGCACATGCGTCTAACGATCTTCACCGCCAACGTTGAACTAGGGCCATCTCTGCCGGCATCTGCCCGAATACGGCTACCCCGGCCAGTCGTTTAAGACGCTGCATCCCATATTACGACATCTGGCTACCTCCGAGCTTCAGAGCACAATCCCACGTGCGCCCAGCTCCCCGTCGTCTACGCGAACAGGATCACCCACTACTTCGCTATAAGGTAGCTCGCCCGGTATTGACAACTTTAGACGAACCTCCTCCTTTTTTCCTTTTGCACCACAATCTCACACCTGACGACTCACGAGCTCGGAACAATGTCTCAATCCATCAATGTAACGACGACTCAGGCCCAGTCCGGCATCTCCCAAGACCTGCGGAACAACATTTACTCGGCCCTTCTTTCTGGCGATGGCATCCGCAATATTGAATCCACCCTAGACGAATCCCTGCGGGCCTCTGGGTTCAAAGACGATCTAAGAGCCTACATTACCGATCTGTTCCGCTCGGGCCAGGCTACTACCTGCGAGGAAGCCCGGAATCTGGCGATGCAGAAGATCAGAGAGCAAACGCGTGGTTTGGAGGATCAATCCAATGGCATCAACGGCACCAACGGAACGACGAATGGAGATGGAGAGAATGGAGAGGAGGTCAACTTGAAAATTCCGAAATCCGCAATTGACGCCGGTGCAAAGACAGTCATGAAGGAGTTGGAGAAGGTGTGCGATATCACATACGAAGACGACAAGTGATCGCCCCTCCTGTAATCTGAGAAAGAGTCCACCTTCCATGCCACAGCAAAATGCAGGCTCGTGTCGCCCGAGTCAGTGTAGTTGAAGGGGAAGTCTTCAAAGCAAAGGCCTTAACGAACGATACTATTGAGCGCACAGCCGACACCGTTGCAATGTGGGGCGGGCGACATCGTTCAACGGCACCGATGGGCTCCGGCCGCTGTCTCGGGTGATCAGAGACCTCGCCTGTGCCCATGAAACCTTGCCTCATAACCGCTGCGCCAAGTGGACAGTGTTGAATCAACCATGTTGGAGGCTCGGCCGTTCGTTGAGTATGGATGGATTGGTGTATAAAATACACGGTGATGGAAAAGGAGTCAGGTCAGAGATTGTAACACAGCTCAATGCAAGGACATGGTGGGCGCAGCAAAAGTTCATTGATAACATGCATTCTCATTGAGGCCATTGGTTCGTGAAAGATACTACTGATATCCTGTCAAAGCGCTAGCAATTACGCGCGCCTCCATCTATCTATGAGACGTCAATCGCCCCTCATGCCGTGTGATGATGAAAAAGGGAAACCCATCCGTCATGATCCTGCAACTGTCTAGTTGTACAGGTCCTCGTCCTCACCACCAGCGCCGAAAGTGTTCTGCTCACCACCACCCGCTGCGTTCTCAGCGTCGGGGAAGCGGAAGAAGCTTGATCCACCAGAGTTCTTCATTGACTGTGCGAAGGCCTCGTACCGGCGGATCTCAACATCGGTAACGGAGCGACGAGCGGAGCGCATGGCCTCCTCGAAGTGAGCCTTGGTCAGCACAGGTACTGGGTCCTCCTCGTCTACCTCCATGTCGACATCCTCACCAGCAGCCTCGCGAGCCTTGCGGCGCTCGATGTCAATCGCAATAGACTGCTTGATGGCGAGCTTGACCGCACGCTGGGTGACGAATCCAAGATCGGCACCAGAGAATCCGTGGGTGTTCTGGGCGATGAAGTCGATGTTGACATCCTCGGCGACAGGGGTCTTGCGAAGCTGAGCCTTGATGATGCTGGCACGCGACGCAAGATCGGGCAGAGGAACGTAAACGAGAGTGTCAAGACGACCGGGACGGCACAGAGCATTGTCGAGCTGTTCCGGTCGGTTGGTGGCACCGATAACGAAGACGTTCTTCTTCGATGTCATACCGTCCATCTCGGTAAGAAGCTGGTTGACGACACGGTCAGAGGCACCACCGGCATCGCCTTGAGATCCACCACGCGACTTGGCGATGGAGTCCAACTCGTCCAGGAAGACGACGCAAGGTGCGGCGGCACGCGCCTTGTCGAAGATGTCACGGATGTTGCTCTCAGACTCACCGAACCACATGGAGAGCAGCTCGGGACCCTTGATAGAGATGAAGTTGGCCGCGCACTCGTTGGCAACAGCCTTGGCAAGAAGCGTCTTACCAGTACCAGGGGGACCGTAGAACAGTACACCTCGGGATGGAGACATACCGAACTTAAGGAACTTGTCGGGGTGGTCGACTGGGTACTGCACGGACTCAATGAGCTCGCGCTTGACTTCCTCCAGACCACCAATGTCCTCCCACCGGACGTTGGGAACCTCGACAACGGCGACCTCGCGAAGGGCTGATGGGTTGGATACGCCAAGAGCGAAACGGAAGTTCTCCATGGTCACGCCCAGTGAGTCCAGAACCTCGGCGTCGATGGTGTCCTCGTCGAGATCGATGAGGTCCATCTTCTCACGAATCTGCTGCATGGCAGCCTCAGAGCAAAGCGAAGCCAAATCAGAACCAACGTAACCGTGAGTCTCAGCAGCGATAGTTTGTAGGTCGACATCGTCACCGAGCTTCATGTTCTTGGTGTGGATCTGCATGATCTCGAGACGGCCGGTAGGGTCGGGAATACCGATATCGACTTCACGGTCGAAACGTCCGAAACGGCGCAGGGCGGGGTCGATGGAGTTGGGTCGGTTGGTGGCGGCCATAACAACAACGTTGGAGCGAGCCTTCATGCCGTCCATGAGGGTGAGCAGTTGCGAGACGACACGGCGCTCGACTTCACCGTTGGTCTTCTCACGCTTGGGCGCGATGGAGTCGATTTCATCAATGAAGATGATCGCGGGGGAGTTCTTCTCGGCCTCCTCGAACGCCTTGCGCAGATTTGACTCTGACTCTCCGGCCATCTTGGACATGATCTCGGGACCGTTGATCAGGAAGAAGAAAGCACCGGTCTCGTTGGCGACGGCACGAGCCATCAGTGTCTTACCGGTACCGGGAGGACCGTACATCAGGATACCACGCGGAGGCTTGATACCGATGGACTTGAAGAGCTGAGGATGCCTCAGTGGCAACTCGACCAACTCTCGGATCTGCGCCATCTGCTTTCGGCAGCCACCAATGTCGTCGTAGCCAACCTCGTTGAGGTTACCCTCCTCGTCCTCGCGCTGGATGGGCTCGCCCTCGCAGTGGATGACTGTATCTTGTGCGACGATACCGAACTCTGGTGGGTCGACCTCGACGACCTTGAACTCCACTTGTCGCATACCGCCGCGGGCTGTGAATGTGTCGCCTTGACGAACCGGTCGGTAGGCTTCGCGGAAGTATGGGGCGAGGAAAACGTCGAACAGCGAACCAGTGATACCCTCGACGGTGTCGGCGATGGGAAGAACTGCAATGCGCTTGGCCTGCAATGGAGTTAGCTTTGAATCAGCATTTCAAAGATGTAGCTACGTACGTATTTGATGTCAGGGCACGGGTGGATGGTGATAACATCACCGTGCTTGACACGCAGGTTGTGGCGAACGACACGGTTTATCCGCGCAGAGCCATCGTCGAGGTCGTCGTCGGCGAGTACGATAAGAACGGTGTCCTTCCGCTTCTTGCCCTTGACGAGGACTGTGTCACCACGGAAGAGCTGGAGCGTCTCCATGGTGTTGTTTGAGAGGGCGATAATCGAGTTGTCATCGTTGACGGCGTCGGTGACACTGCGAAGTCAGTATGGCTTCTTTGTGTCGCTTTGTGGCGTACTTACATCAGCGAGTTTGGCTTCTTCTTCTTCTTGAGGATGGCAGTTGCGGTCTCGTCATTCTGTGGCGGATCAGTAAAGGCGGTCTCAGATGGGTGTTTGGCAGTGCCTACATCCTTGGGCTCAGCGCCATCGGGGTTCCTGGAGTCTTGTTAGTCGCGGTTGCAGACATGCGGCTGGTGGCAATGCACGTACTTGGAAAGATCCACCTTCGGCTTGGAGTGGTCTGGTTCAGCGGACATCTTGCTGATGTGTCTCTATGGAATGCTGCGACTGTACTTTTCCGGTGCAAAGAGGGACGCCGGGATTTGCAGCGCGGTGTAATGGGTTGTGGGTGGGGTGGGGGGTAAGATGGAGGTGATGGGTCTTTGGTGTTTGGGGCGTGGTGGTTTAAGTAAGTTGGAGCTTGAACAGTGTCGGTGATCTCACTGCTTGAGCTAGCTTGATGTTGCCTTAGGGTCCGTGCTCCTTCCGCCGCCGCAACATTGGAAGTTGCTGGAAACGCTTAGACAAGCCGGCCTACTGGAAACACTGTGTCCCTTTCACCGTCAATTGCTTCCCGCCTCCCTCGGAAAGGCCCCATGCGGGCCAATCAGGCCCGCTTTGTGCTACTTTCCGCATCTCCAGGGTGAGACTGGCGTTGTTACGCGTCCGACTGGAGCCTGCTGCAGCCTCATTCGCGCCACCAAAATGCCAAGAAAGTCTCCATATCGGTCCTTCGTCAGTGCGCGCGATAAGTAAACCTACATGTCCGTCAGGTACACGTAGACCATAGCAGTCCTGGTACCCGTCCAACGCTTGCCAAATCATATGCGTACCATGGGTAGCTATGGCAGTTACTCTCTGGCACACATATAAGGAAAGAGCCCTTGCTGTTTCACACCACAATACTTCTGGATGTTTTCAGATCGTCCATGGTTCGCCTGCATATTCTAGTCTTTCAGGCTGCTGGCTGCTTTATGGTCCCTGGCCTCATCATCACGTTGCAGCATCGGATAGTGCGGAACTTCACAACTTGACAGACTTACACCGCGACAAACTCGATCGATCTTGGTCACGTTCTTATAAGTGCAGCTTCGGAGGGCTGTAGATATGTATTAGGATATACTAACTTCTTGCACTAGACACCTTCACACGTTCTGTTGTTGCATTCCAGCAGACGCTGCACATGCTTTCTTCTCCATCTCGCGCAAGCATGGCGCTTGGAACATATTGCCATACACCATGTTCTTCACAGTACCGACAGCGACTAGTAGCCACAAAAGTATGACACTGGCACCAAGTACCGTGCCCAGAATCCTGAAGAATGCGGATGGCAGTTCCTGTCCGATGGTAATGGTAGACATCGTAAAGACGCCAATGGGAAAGGTAAAGCCCCACCAACCCATATTGAAAGGGAACTTGCTCCGACTGATTGATGCGACTCCGAAGAATAGCCATACCAAGCCAAACCCCCATAGCGTGATGGCGGTCATCCAGCCTAGTACGTAGAGAACTTCGCCGGCCATTGGATGCAACGTGTTCGTCTCTGGAAAGGTCTTTGAAGCTTGGATTCCGAGTTTCAACGCAGCGTATCCGCCCTGTCCCATAGGTCCAAGAGGCAGGAAGACACTGACGATTACTTCCTGAGATGGAAGGTTATGAATGGCAAGACGGTGGAAGTACATCACCATAACCACGAGTGCTAGTGGCACGCCCATACCCCACAGCACATAGCTGGTGACTATGGTGATGAGGGCTTGGTTTGGCTCAGGTAGCACTGACGCGACAACGCCACCGGAAGCTGCTGCAACAATACAGGCTACAATGGGTAGGAGCCATGCTGCTGTCATCGTCTCATGGCGATTATAGTGCTTCGTCATCCTATTGCTATGTTAGCTGGTGATGTTACTTCGTTGTTTTTTTTACTTTGAACACACAGTGCCAGACTGTTATGATCGAAAGCAAGCATGGATCAACTTACATTTGAAAAGGCAGCCAGAGACAACAGGCGACGCTCAGCGCAACATCGAGCCACCACATTCCCCAAACAACATACGGCGTCGAACCACCCCAAGCTGGTACGCAAACCGTAGCGAACATGTTGATGATGGTAGCAAATCCCATGGGTATTGTGCCGAGAAAGAGCGATTGCACCGGATGCTGAAGCATCAGCGTCCATGTGGCGGGGTACAGTGCGTATCTTAGGATGGATATCAAGAGTATGATGGAGAATATGAGGACGTTCAAGATGAAGAACGCGATACTGAGGGTTCTCAGCGAGCCGTGGTAACGAGGGTAGAGCTCAGAGAAGGCATTGAGCAAGATCGCGACGATGCCTGTGCCCATCGTAACAGCGAACTAGGCTTCGGTCAGTCTTGTATTCTGCTAAAGCTGCGAGGGAATTATCGTACCCATGATGGAGTGAAGTTTTGGACAACGCGTCGCCAGCCCCGACGGTCGGCAGGTATCAGCCACTTGGGCAGCACTTGAGCATCTGCAAATTCTTCCTTGCTACGACACATTTCGCCTGGCCGTAGACGAGTCTCACGTTGTATCGCACATGGTGTTGACATTCTGATGAGATCTGACTGAAGGGTTGGAGCTGAAAGAGACCAAGGGTGATTGACAATGAGAGATTGAAATTAGGGAAGAGGAGATCACACTTCACTTATACAAACAACCGCAGCTTAGAGTCATCGTGTTTCCAGGCTAGACTTTTCTTTCTTCACAATCGCCTGTATCTTCGTCGAGATTTGCTGGTTATACGGCTTGCACAGGCCACAACGGCCGGTTCCTCGGCGACGGTCCGAACTTCGTTACGTCAGACTCGATTACTCACACTATCGCGATAGCGTTAGGAATAAGTTCTGTCCATCCACGAATGTTGTGCTAACGATTGTCTGGTTGCCATAATTGCGTGATGAAGGGCTTACAGACTGAAGCCGGGAGTCCTTGAGCAATCTGGAAGGGATGATTGATGCTAGCTGAACTAGGTCTAGAGCAAATTGCGGCTTCCGGACTGCCCATGTGCGGAGGTGCGGGCAGACAAGAGCACTTCACGGGCCTACTCGTGGTCTTCGCACTCCAGCCCTGATGGAGCTCATCGCTGCAACGCGGTGTTCTGCTCCGCACCGTGGTAGTTGCACCTGTGGATGTGCTGCTCTCGCTGTCACTGCACACGCGTTTCATTACATCCCGAAGCGACTCCAAAGACCTGCTTTTGTAGAGTGTGTCGGTATTGCTGACGTTACTTTCACGGGTTTACTTTCTGACCGGCAACGTCGCGTTCGTTGCTTGATTGCCGGGTGAGAGAGCAATGTCCCTCCTAGGGCCATCGTCGCACCTGCCTGGCATGTATCGTCAGACGTACATGCTTTCGGGTTACGTTAGGTATGAAAGTTTCTGTTCCGACATCAAATATACCACAATGCGAGCTAACAAGTTCTGTCAAGCCTACGGGTCGGGTGTCACCAATGCGACTCTGTATTTCTTTCATTGGAAGAGTTGCGATCACACGAACAGATCACACACAACTTCTGTCAGAAATGTGATCACCAGTTTTCCAACTGGACAGAGCTGAAGCATCATTGCCGCAAACGTAAATGTGCTTACGTCTGTGACGGGTGCGATGGAGTCTGGGAAACTGCTTGGCTTTTTCAGAAGCATGTTGAAGCATTCAATGTCTGCAAGATATGCGAGCGGCACTTCGACACATCCTCGAACCTAATACATGTAAGTCGGTGCCAGCTGTTGAGACGCAATCAAGGCTGATTGCGTATTGCAGCACGAGCTGACGCATCGTAAACCTGCCTACGAGTGCCTCGCCTGCACACGCAATTTCACCACCTACGGAGGAATGATCATCCACCTTGAATCTGGTGCCTGTTCTTCCGGTATAGACGCGTACGACTTGGCGCTCACCACCGCGAGATGCTTCCAAGGAGGCAAATTCTTCATGCACAAGGAAGATCGAGAGGCCATCAAGCAGGGCATCGACTTGCTGCGAATATTCCGTGAGCAAGGTGGTAGCACTCTTGTCTTCTGTTGTCCTACTTGCGGCACCAATTTCCCAAAATTATCGAGTATGTTCATGCACGTGGAATCGCCTGCTTGCTCTCAGCAGCTGGGCGAAGGGGCAGTTGGCAAGCTCCAAACGTGGCTTTCAAACTGTCACGGATGAAGAACAGCTTCACGACAAGGTTATTACTCATCTCGACGTTTCCAGGTACCAGCAACTTCTATGATGTACATCAAAAACGTCCGCGGGTATCCGCATTTGACCTTCGCAAATGCTGGTCAGAATTCGTGTCGCATCTTGCTGCATACACATCAGAGAATCCTAAAAAAACGAATGCTTGACAGAGTCATGTATACTTCTTTGCACGAAAAACGCGACACGAGCTGTTGCTGAAACAATACATGTGTTCGGTATTACTTTTCACACAAACTACCTCGATACTTATAAAGTTTGTAGATTCGAGCCAGTGGCATTTATCTTCGCCTCTGCCATCAACATCCTCTTCTGGTCCAGGTCGAAAACGATATACGCCCCTTGCATGAATGGGGCACCCAGGCTCGCGAAATCGTCTCCATCCGAAGGATACATCGGTAGATAGCACCGGGTGCCGCTTAAAGACGAGTCGCGTACCAGCATTGCAGCCAAAGGGGTGCTGACTTTCGCTCGGTTATTGTTGAAACCAAATGAAAGACTCTCTCCGCGTGAGCCCAGGTCGCATGACACACTACCCAGTCGACCAGCCTGTTCATCGAAGGTCGTACCTACAGCCATAGCTATAGCGCGGAGTGAGGCTGAAGGGACATTCAGTGCCGGGTTTCCGGTATCGATTAACACTGGAGGTAGACCGCCTCGTGGTGCCAGGTCGATATTGGAGCTAGAAGGGGATGAGTCGCCGCCCACTAATTGCATGGAGCTCCAGTTGATAACAGATTTCGATGCAAATCCGTTGTTGTTCAGCAAGAACGAACCAGCATCTTGGAGCTGACCTTGGAACTTTGCCGTGTCAACGCCGCCAAACACAATAGAACCTTCTGGGTTACCTGTCGAAACTTTTGTCAGTGGGATACACGGTAGAGTAGTTACCGCGACTCACGGAAGTCATTCATGTAGACACCATATACGTTGGCGGCGGTCACACCAGCATCTTTGAGTTTGGCGGGCGCGTTCTGATAAGTCGACCGGATGACTTCATTCTCAACAGGTCCGATACCTAAGATGGGGAACAGTGGAGTTTCGGCTGGTAGGGAACCTTGTTCGATAACTCCCAGCTGCGCATTAGATATGATCTGCTTCCCGAGTTTCAATGCGGTAGAAATGAATCGCCCTCGGAACGCAGCACCGTTAGCGAAATCGGTGTTTAGTTCAATGCCAACGTCTTTCAGACTGCTGTCCTTGTCCGTGTCGAAGGAGCCAGTGACGAAAGGAGTGCCGGAGCATTGTTGTTGCTGGTCCTGGCATATACGACTGCCAGTCCTTGGGATGATGAGATCGCTGCTTCCCGTATCCAAAACTGCTGTTATCGACTGCGGCGGCGTACCGACTCCTATCGAGACGAGAGGAACGAATGAACCGGCATTGTCGATATGCTTGATAGGTATTGACAGGAGTTTCGGAGTTTGCGCCCGTGCGATTTGCACACCAACGAGGAAAAATATGCATAAGTTGACGGTAGAGAGCGGAGATGCCATAGCAAGCAAGTGAGACGAATACACCGACAGAGATGAATAGAACTGATGATGTGGTAGAGTTGTTGGAGGACTAGTCGGTCCGGAATGACCTCGCCGTACTTACCTTTGGCGATCATTTCTATACCCAACACAGTGGGATCCCACCGAGGATCTCGTGCACGTCTAGACGAGTCATACCGTCTTTCGTAGAATTGGAAGAGGTCCTTTCGCAATGTCGATGCTGTAGGTTTGAACTCGAAGGCCAGCAAAAGCACCAGCCATTGGCCAGCTTTAAGCCTGGCAATTAGGAACCTCCACTATCGCCAGGAATACCTGCATCGCAATGATTTATCTGACGGCTACTAGAGATGTCAAAAACACAGGTGTGGCACAGTTGCCTGCAAAGCGTCAAGTCTGCCGACACGTAAGAAGACATTTTGTAGCAATAGTACAGGATGCCTTGTCTGCATCCGTCGCTACATCGGAGCTATAGACACCGCGGGCTTTCCACATAGATTACTTGTTTCGGAGTATGTTTCACCTTGAATCAGTGGGAGCAAAATGAAAGAGCAAAAATGTAGCAAAAAGAGAGTTGTCTCCCCACCATGAGTCGAACAAGGGACCTTCTGATAACAGCAGATATTACAGTCAGACGCTCTAAACCAACTGAGCTACGGGGAGAATACTTCAAAGCGAAGTCGTGCTTGCTGGATGGAAATTTCGACAAATTTTGCGTATATAAAGGCGTGTATTTCCTAGAATTCGCGGACTTCGGGTTGCGACGCACTGAATTGCAAGAGTGGGGTCGAAGCGGTTCGTGTTCCCAATCCGCCGATTGCTGACCTCGGAACCCAAAGCGAAGAACACGACACGAGCTAACTTGGAGACACGTAACATCTATACACTTCGATACCACTATCTACAAACAATGCCTTCCCCGGTAACCGCCAAACAATCAGCAGGATGCACGACATCGGCAATTACTCCTAGCCGCGCCAAACCGCTTCAAGCACGCACATGAAGCTTAACGGGTCTGCCTCTACTCTAACGACATCAAACCTCTCATCAGCCTGCCTGAACACATCCTTCCACGCGTCCACCGGCCTCTCCTTCGCGTTGAACAGCGCCATCATCCTAAGATCAGTAGCCGTACCAAAGCCCTGTATACTCCTCGGCAATTCCTCCTCGCTCGGTCCCTGCTTGCCTACGTAATCGATGAAGATGACGCGCGCACCAGATCTAAGTGCAGGGCGTAGCGCTTGCAATATTTTAACTGATTCGACGTCTGGCCAGTCGTGGAGAATCCATTTGAGGATGTAGATGTCTGCTTCTACAGGCTGCGGATCGAACATGTTGTGTGTGCGGAAGGAGACGCGGGATTTGAGCTCGGATGGGAATTCTTTTTCGAATACTGGAGCGACTTCTGGAAGATCCTCGACAACGATCTTGAGCTTGGGATATTTGGCTGCGAGGACGGCGTCGTCGTGGCCTGCGGAACCGGCGAGCTAATCGTTGTTAGTGCCAGAACGAGGCTGAGATGAGTGTACTTACGTCAACGACTGTGGCTTCACCGGCAGCCTCCCAGTCAACAGCATTGATTATGATGTTCTCGGTGTGGAAGAGGTCCTTGATGTACGCCATGAACTTGACAAAGTTCCTCTGCCGCCATCCCTTCTTTTCACCTTCGCCATCGTTCTCAATGAAGTCCCAGCTGTTGTCATAGTCACCCCAAGCACCGCCAGAGTGGCAGAGTCTGAAAGCGGTCTCCTTCATGTCTTTACTCGGTTCTGCCTTTCCTTGCGAAAAGCGACGCAGAGCTTCAGGGAGCAAAAGCATAGGCGGACCCGTTTCGTCCAACACCGTCTGCACCAGCGCTGACAAGCCAGGGTCCTTAGCCAGTGCGGCAGATCGCGAAGTGTGTTTGACTGAGGTAGCTGCAGGCGAGTCTCTGGTGAAGAAACGCATCGTAATCGCATGATCGATGACCCGGCTTACGACCTCAAGAGGGAGCTTGGTATGCTTTGCTATCTCCTTGAGCGTTGCCTCGCCATCGACCGGCACTGCACCCCAGAAGTCGAACTGGTTCAGGATGTTCAAGCACGCCGTGTCTGGGACGGCCATGTGCACGTAGTTGAACACACTCTCGCTCGGTCCTTGGCTGAGAATCCACATGTCCTTCAATGCATCCTCGAGAAGTTGTCGGGTCATAAAGACATCCCCAGGAAGTTTCTCGTACTTGATTGGACTGTCGGCCTCAAGAGTGATCGGTGTCACGTTCTCCGCCTCCAGCTGCTTCGTCATCTTAGCAGCTAGCTCGCTGATTTGAGCCGCGAGGCTGTTGAGTGTTGCGATCTCATGCTGTTGAATAGAACCCATGTCGAAGTCGTCTGGATCAGACTTGGAGCACTCGAAGGCTTGGAGCACTCGAAGGCTTGGAGCACTCGAAGGCTTGGAGTAGGGGAAGCTGTGCCCTTCGTTTGAGGTACAACTATGGCCGCTATATGTCAACTCCCGCCGGGACCCGAGTAGGAGCTGTCTCCGGCATCGGGACAGATGGACACCAGTACACGGATCATACACTAGTATTTTCTCATCATGCTATGCTCTGCATCTTTTGCTCATGGGAGCTGGCTAGCCAAAACGATTGTAGACGACAGAGGATGCAGCTTTTGATTGGCACGAATGAAGTAGGCAGTCGCGCGAAGAGAGTATAGGGCTAGAGCGAGCTCGGAGTCGCATCCGTGAACATGTACCATCAAGGCACGATGTTGTGGCCGCTGCATCGCGAGTGGTACGATGAAGGTGTCCACGAGCGCTAATCAGATCATCTTATCAATCTGATAAGATTTCTTCCAGATCTAGGCCTGGGTCGCCGAAGCAAGCCACTTCAGCTGCTGCCGCTTACAGGCAGCGCCCCGCATCACGCGTGAGTCTGAACGAAAATGAATACGACCATTGTGGGCCCTATCATGATGATTAGTGATAATTTATCCTGAACTGCGACTGTGATGAAGCGTGAGAACTCGACGGAGAAACATATCACAGATGCACGACATTGGGTTGGTGACATCATATTCCAACACACGCGCTCTTGAAGGACCTCTAGTCCTGGAATTACAAGGGTAAATGCGTTTTATTTCGAGACATACCACGTCTCTCAGACGAATGTATACGTCGACTCCATATCAACATCGCGGCTCATTTATGTCGTCTAGAATAGCTCATCTAAACCCCGCAGCGCTATGCAAGCACAAATCCATCAACCCCCCAATTAAACATTCGATCCAAAGAAATATGATAATGTCAACATCCTATTTTCGTCCAATGAGCTTGCTGAGCCCACTCTTCTTCTTCCCGTCCTTCTCCTTCTGGTCTTCCTCCTTTACGCGCGCATCCTCGGCGGCACGCTCGTCCTTTGTCGGTACTCTAGGCTGGTCCGCGAAGCGAATACCGGGTGTGCGTGGGGTAGGTGAGAGTGTCTTCTGGCTAGGCTCAGCGGCACGTGAGTGTGTACCACGGCCAGTCTCCATTGGGTCACCAGTCTCCTCATCTTCGGAGTCAGACTCGGGAGTATCGTCTTTGCCGACACCGAGAGCGCCCAGACGACGCCTTCGCTCCGCTGCTGTTTCGCCTTCAAACCCTTCTTCAGGCTCATGTGATGGTGGAATAGCGGAACCGCCTGAAGTTTCAGCCGGAATATTCTCTGCAGCTAGGCGACGTCGGCGTTGTGCCGCGGTCTCGCCACCCTGGTCATTAGGTCGGTCCTCGAGATCCTGGCGTACAGAGTGGAATGGTACATGCTCGTCGTTACTGTCCACCAGCGTCAACCCTTCGGGGCCACGTGCGTGACCCTCCTCCCTGGCTGCTGGCGACTCGATCTTGTGAAGTTCTGCCTCTCCCTCTTCACCGACAACCGGGGGAACGTTCGCTTGTACGGAAGCTGCCCGACGGCGCTGTTCTGCAGTGTGATCTTTGGCGTCCTGATGGGCAGCATCCTTGACTGCTTCAGGAACATCGCTAGCTTGCACAAACTTCGCCCTGTCTTTGGGGTTCATTTGCGACATTTGCTGGATAAACTCAAGCTTGCTCATGCGACGACCACCAGCTGTCACGGTGAAGCGAAGTAGGTCGTCATCTTCCTGCTCTTTCGCCGCCAATTCCGCCGCCTTCTGCTTCTTTTTGTTATTTGCGGCTTGAGTGCCGGATGCTCCAGCTTGTTGCCCCGCGGGCACGCCCATGTGAGTCCCCATCCGTTTCAGACTCTGTACAGCACGGCTTGACGTCTCCACCATGGACTGACCGCGAGGGTTTGCAGGACGACCATCCTTTCCTTTCTTCGGAGCAGCTGGAATGTCATACTTCTTCAAGACCTCACCATCCTCGTCTTCGACAATAATGGTATTACCATATTGGTAAGCAAGAGCGGGGCCATGCTTTCCGGACTTTTGTGCCGACTTCTCCGCCTTTGGGGGTTCCGCAGCCTTGTCCTTGTGACCATGGCCTGTGTAGCTTTGCATTCGATTGCGCCAGGTTTTGTGAGGGTGTTCAATGGCGTTCTCAATCCGGCTAGGTGCTTCTTCAAGGGCACCGCCGTGCTCATCTTGTGACACGCCACCCTGAACATGTTTTTGACGCATGAGCTCTTGGGCCCTCTCACTATCGTGCCTTTGCCTCTCGATGCCGTGCTCGCCATGACTGTCTCTTACGCCGAGAACGTTCCCTTCTTTGTCTTCAAAGACGGTTTCATGGCCCTCCTGGTAGATCTCTTCCTCTGGTATCCGCCTCTTCATCTTTCCTTTCTCGCTTGACGAACTGTCGCTAGAGATAGCCATCGTGTCAGCAAAGGTATCGGTGTCTTCCTCAGGGGGTATCGCTTCCGCCTTCTCTTCGTCGCGTTTACTGGGGGCAA